ACACACACACACAGCTATATTTATGCACATATTTCGGTGGGTCTTGTGTGTGTATATACATAAACATATTGTGTTATATATGAATTATTATTTACAACTTATGAACAGTCTAACAAGAAACAGAAAATTACATTCTGGATCTTTTTTTCATCGCCATTTCACTTAAAATAATATCTGTCGCAACCGTTTTTGAGCCGGTTGCTAGAGAACATTTACAAGCTTTGTAAGTTCTATTGAGACGTATTCGTACATCAACGATTGAAACGATGAGAACTGAAAAGCCACATGTAAAGTCCAATATACATATTGCAACGTGTTGATTTTAACTTGTGCTTTTTCTTTCGTCGTGTGAGATAAAAAGTTTGAATTGCATACTGAAATAAAAAGAAAGGTAGAACTAATAAAAAAAAAGTTTTGTACATATGTTAATATAATTATTCGGTAAAATACAATAACTTATAATCAGGTTGACAAAGAGAGAATCTCATAGATAATATTTTTTGTATTTCTATGTTCTTTTACTTTTTGTAAAACAAAACCAAAAAAAAATATGATAGAATTCCTATTTTTCCTTGTTTCCTCTCAAATTGTTATGCATATTCTGTTTCGTCACTTCTCGCGCTCATCATTTCTTTGTCCTACGTTAAATATCACTAATTTCAATCACATACATACATGCATACACACACAGAGAGAACAGAATACAAACACAACAGAAACATTTTTTCACTTTTTTTGCATTGTCAAAAAGAAAGTAAATCTACAACGTGTGTGTGTGTGTGTGTGTGTGTGTGTGTGTGTGTGCACACATACAGAGTGTGTCTGATAAGACGGTCAGCACGTTTTTCTCAAAAACAGTTAGAGATAGAAGAACATCCATTATCAAAATTATAGGACATAAAAGAAACATATTATGGTGACCTTGAATGTGACCTTAAATATTTTTTTTACATTACCAATCAACAATTTTTTTTTAATGGAAATGGATTTTTTGAAAAATTTTCACTTTTTGAGTCACTCTGTCCATAGTACTCACTGAACTTAATAACTTTTATATTAGTTCAGTAAAGTAGTTTTCAAAAACTCAATTGTTATCGAGATATAAACAAAATTAATCAAAATAAAAAATATGCCATAAATTTTTTTACTATTACGAGAAGTGCTCAAAATGGTTGTCACTGTATTATTCCAGACATGCTTGTAGTTTTTGTGGAAAGCTTGCTTGGAGAGAGAAAAGTGAAAAAGTTAGTGTATCTTCAACGTTCTACTACTCAAGGAAACATAATAGAAAAAATAAAAAATAGTTTTTGCGAAATAACCATTCAAGAGTTAGAAGACATTCAAACAAGCTTTTCACCAAGGCATGTCTGAAGTAACATATATAGTGAACAATTTGAGCACTTATTGTAATAGTAAAAAGATTTGTTTCATATTTATATTGATTAATTTTGTTTATATTTCGACAATGATTGAGTTTCCGAAAAATACTTTATTGAGCTAATATAAAAGTTATTAAGCTCATTGAGTACTATAGACAAAGTGACTCAAAAGTACCCTTTCTCATTATAAAAAAAATCATTTTTAATTGGTAATGTAAAAAAATACTAAGGATCAGTCAAGATCACCATAGTACGCCTCTCTTAATATTCTATAATTTTGATGATAAATGTATTTTTCTATTTCTAGCCGTTTTTGAGAAAAATGTGCTGCTTTTTGTATCAGTTTCTCTCTCTCTCTCTCTCTCTCTCTCTCTCTCTCTCTCTCTCTCTCTCTCTCTCTCTCTGTGTGTGTGTGTGTGGGTGTGGGTGTGGGTGTGTACACACGCGCATGTGTTTAGCAAAAGTGTTTCCAGAAAAGCAAAAAGAAACTTAAAAAATGTTTACGTATTCTCTTTTGCTACATCTTTCTATTTGTTTTTGTTTTCTTTTATACTGTTAATACAGATCAAATTATCTTACAGAACACTTTGCAATATTCCTTTTACTACATCCATAGTATTTAGTACATCACGCGGCATACATTACGTGGATTATAAAATAAAACACTACAAAAACAAAAAAACATACGAATGTGTATAATATAAAAAACACCAGAAATCACGAAAATATTATGATTTCTGTGCGAATCAGACTTTGTGCATTAGAAAAACGTATACAAATCGTTTACAATTACATGACCTCACATTTCTTTTTCAGCCTTTCCGTCTCTCTTACATTAGTATTTATTAAAGGTTCTACATCAATAATTTAGAATTGTCAGCAGGCCGATACGAACAGTGATAATAAATATGAGACTGTACAGCTACGCATGTGTGGCTACATGTAGTATCTATGGTTTTTGCGATTATACCCTTTACGTTTATAAGAAAAAAATTTAGCGTTTATATTTATGCTTTTCTTAGAAAAAAATTTGTTTAGTGCTTCTGATACGAGAGCGTTAAAAATGCAACTAATTGTTACGTCACAAAATTAACAGAAAGTTTTTAACTAAATGCAGTCAATTTATTTTCTCTGGCCGATGACACACTAAACGCACATATAAATCTTAATTATACATAATTAATTACAAAAGAAAAATACATAACATACAAGAGAATACTTAGAATCGGAATAAGATTCGCCAATTATATATACTTATACAATATAATAAGCGACTTAAGCATAACCAAAATTTCAGTAACTTATACAAGTCTGCTACTACGCTTGTTCAAAGGTCACTGATGTTTTTTATTTTGCATATTGCTGATTTATTCAAATTTGAATTTACAATGCAAGAAATAGATAATACAATTGGAAGGACCTTTAAAATGTTTTTAATGTCTCTCTTTGTATATTGTTATTGCGGTTCTTCCATTTCACGAGATCAAGCGCGATCAATTACCCGAAAGCTTTCTCCATCAGCTTATTTATTTGCGGATGCGCGCATCTACAAGAAAATATTTAAAAAATAATAATATATCACTTTTTTTTTATGTCCAAGTCTCTGCTCAATGCGCAATTCTTAAACAAGAGAATTTTGTTAATATAAATTACTGTTTAAAATTATATCTAAAAAAAAAAAGAAAAAAAAACCATTGTTTTTCTCAACTAAAACAGTTACGAAATACAATTGATCCACTCAGTTACTTTACAGTATCAAATTTATATTTTGATATAAAACAAATGTCCCACAGAAATAATAGAAGTAAGTGCAATAAATTTATTCCTTATTTCGTCAACGCAGTTTTGAAATTATACTGTACGAGCAGAGGTCATTTAATAAACAGAAATTGACACGTTGAGAAGATAGAAATGGCAATTGGGTAAACGATTGCACCACGAAAAAAAAAGATAAATAATGAACATGAACGATCTAGATATAACAATATGTAAAATAAAGATGTAAGAAACTAGGAATATGAATGTAAACTTTAAGTCTGAAATAATAAAATAATATATAAAGGAGTACTATTAAAATTTGTAAGTGTGTACTTTTTAAATATTATAAATTATTCAGTGCTATGTGTGTTTGTAATATACATCAAGTGTATTCTGCAGAGAAAGAAAAGTTTTCCAAGTTACGAAAAATAAAATATATGTATTCAAGTAAGTTTTCAATAAAAAGAAAATTGAAAAAGTGGATAGGGGCTCACTATGTTCATCAGGTCTCTGGCTCGTACTCGTAAACTAGAGTTACAAGTTACGTAGCTGGGATATCTCAATTTAAATATAAGCAACACATTTGTGATATCTATTGCGAACTTTTCAGATGCTATTTTAATATGAATTATCTATTATGTTTGAGAATTTTATTTTATTTAGTTTGTGTTTTGTAACCAGTCCTGTGTACAAGTAATTTGTTACCTCTATAGGATTTATGTAAATTTACTGGTAAAATAAAATAAATAAAAATAAAAAACTAAAAAGTACCAATATACTGTATTATGTCTATAACATAAAATTTATTGATTAACATATGAATGTCATATTCCTTGCATCTTAAATCTCATATTATATCGCATTCTGTCGTCGAGTTTAAAGCAATATGTGTTGATTACAAAGAATCAGAATCAGAATGCGTTGATTTTACAGTTGATAGCTCCTTACAAGTATGGCACCGAGGAGCTGTCTCAGTGAAACTCAGATCGACTTAAAAAGATAAAACCTTTCAGCAGAATCCACCGTATAATCACACATGTCCTGTTTTGTATATTTCGTTTGGCAGTGCCTTATGTTTTGCGTGCTCGACGAAGTTTGGCAGTGCGCGACATGTGAGCGCTCGGAGGATATCGTCGATTGCAAGGAAGCAATCTTTTTGTTGTTTTTAAAGTCTACGAATAGGGAATCTCTTTATAAATATAAAGTAACGTAAATTTTACCAATGTGTGTTCAAATCAGTTTTGTTAATGTTACTAAAATTGTTTCTAACAACGACGATATACACTCGGAGAATATAAATACAGAGAACAACAAACAGTACGGCTAGGCCATGTGTATAAGTAAAAGAAAAGAGCCGACATATGAGATTATTAGAAGCACGCTTGTGCAGAAATAGATACTACGTTAAACGCGCGTCGTTAAAACGACGAAGATGGCAGTGCATAATTTTGGCAGTGACGCGTTTCAACTAATTTTTTCTTTGTTCTTTTTTCGGATTCGGTATATATTCTCGATTTCTTTTCGAAAAGAAAGCAAGAGAATCCACTACTACGTTTACCGTCGTGTACATGTGAATGTCGTCTTCGCGGGAACGCTATGCCTGATTGAAAACACAACAAATATAGAGAGATATCCTTTTAGAATACCTTTTGGTGCTCGCGAAAGTAACTTTTATTTTAACGGCGACGAACGAGCTCAGCGACTGCGAATACAGGATTCGTGTACTTATATATTCTCATTACGTATATAATTTCAACTAAGTATTTACATTTACAACTCGCGTATTTGCTTTGTTTTTCGTGACGCGTTGTACACGGAATATTTTCGCGCAAGCAGTTCGATAAATGAGTTCGACACGTTCTTGGAACCGCTTTTCACGAATTCATTGTCGCGCGTTAGCTAGAGAGATCTATTCGGTTATACACTTACAATCGTACTTTATAATAATAGTAAGAATAATTAATCGGTTTATTATTGTAGCTCTTTTAATTATAATCGTATTGGCAGTGTTTCTTAGCTGGTGTAATAACGTGCCGTCTTTGTCTGTCTTGTCTGTGTGTTCCATACATCACCATCTTGCACTCACACTTGCAATCTCACACATCCATTCTCTCATTTATTTCAGTTTTACTCTCTAATCGTTTTCATTACTCTTGATCTCCTTTTTGTCAAGTTTAATTTACATGAACCAATATATTCGCTACGTATGCATACGTGTGACATCACCGTTTTCGGCGCTGCAAAGAGCGTTAAGACATTCTCGCAGCTGTAAAGATTACGAAATTACGATAAGCGGCGAACGTCGCTTTGTTATTATATTCATTCCCTTCCTCAATAATTTCATGTGAAATATAACACAGCCTTCGTAATTTACTCCTTTTGAGAGTAACAGCTCATCAGTTGCAGTCGTACAGCATGTTCAATTACTCTCATTTTCCTTTCATCGGATTAGGATCGGTGGACGAGCGTACGTCAACATGCTGCGCGAGACTCAGCAGAAAGATACAATTAACGCGACGATGTTAAGTATACTCAAACATGTTTAGGACACGGAATCGAGGTAATTATGAATAATTGTGATAATCTGAAAATGCTTCGCGGCAGCCATTTTGGAATAATTATATCTCTTTTTAATTTTTTGTTTTGTACATTGCCTCTCCAACTTGCAAAAGGTAGTAGAGGAACTTAATTCTCGATAGAAATCTCAAATAGCGTAAATGTTCGATTATTTTTTGCAGTCTTTCAATTTCATGCTGAGCTTATAAATCTGGGAGAGACTGTTTACCCCTATTCAGGGAAATAACGGCGGTTTCGGAGCAACGTCACTCTCGATCTCTATTTTTCTCTTTCACACTCTTATTGTTTCATTCATTCTTACATAATTAATTTATTCTCGCTCCGATTTACTTTTGTTCCTCGATACAATTTTCTGCATTCTTTTTACAATCTTTTTATTTCCGATCTTTTTTCTCTTCTCGTGTCATATGGTACAACGACGCGCGAGTTCCTATCGAGTTACTAAATCAAGGTAGACGCATCTTCTTTCACTCCTCTCTCTCTCTCTCTCTTTCTTTCTTTCTTTCTCTCTCTCTTTCTCTCTCTCTTTCTCTCTCTCTCTCTCTCTCTCTCTCTCTCTCTCTCTCTCTTTCTCTCTTTTTCTTACTCATTCTCGAGGCATCGTCAAAGATCACAAGAATGCCATTTGGTTCCCAGAAGTGCCAAGAGGCCGATGTTAGATATTAAATGAGTCCTAAGGCCACCAGAGTGATTATTCCTTATAAATTGTTAACTACCGCTTAAACATTTTGTCTGTGCTTTTTGTCTCTCGATTTTCATTGGCAAAACAAGCGCGTAAGCTTCTTTTAGAGCTTTCTCTTTTTTCTTTTCTATTTTTTAATTTGTTTGTTCTCATCTATCATTACTAGCGCCATTTTTATCGCGCGTCAAGTTTTGGAATTTCAAACGGCGATACAAGACGGTACAAAACGTATCCACGGTGAGGCACTTTCGAGGCCCGGGCTTAGCTCTTCCGGGAGCGACGAGCTTCGGAATATGCGAGGTATTCGTGGCACAGATCCACGTAAACTTTGCGCATTAGCAGATGTAACTATCAATGAAAAATGACGAAGAGTATGATCATTAACAACGCAGCGCTCTCTCGCTCAACTGAAATGAGAAGGAGATCGTATCCCTCTCATTCTCCGTTGTTCTTTTCATTCTTATCGCTAACTGTGTACTACTCGGTTTACATCTTCAATTTTATTATATCTCTCTTGCGCGATATACTTCTCTCACTGCAATTCTCTTATCTTCTAGTCAATCTGGGATCCGTAGACATTGGTCGTTCTCCTAGATTAGGTAAGTTATTTTCTAGCGATATCTCTTTCTCGATACAATTCGGATATTTTCGAACCGTGGCCTTTGTCTTCACCGACCAGGAGACGTTCTGCTTTTATTACCAGCAGCATTAATTCTGTTCTTCTCTAGTTCAGGAGTGTTATATGTGCTCGAATGATCAACTCTAATATCCGACTGGTCAACTGGCATTATCACGAATTCTTTACCGGTTTTCGACGCTGTTTCACACGCGTTGTAGATGGCGTGCGACCGCTTATCGCGGGATAGAGAGCCAAACTAACCTCTTCCGGATTAATGGCAACTGCTTTGCGAATATCTATGTGCTTCGTGATTTGTACTTCGGATTCTAGTACCCATTCGTCCGGTTCTCTGTGAAAAAAAAAAAAAGAAAAAAAAAAAAAGAAAAAAAAAAACATGCAAGAGAATAAGCGTTTGAATATTATACGTCATGCCAATTAGAATTTACATTTTATACGGAAACTTACATATCTCGCGGATACCACCGCAGTAGTACCTTCGTCTGTCCATCTAATTCAATTCTTCTTGCTAAAACCTAAAAAATAAAATTTCGTTGGAGTAAATTCCTCTAAACCAGAAATATGCGCGAGGTACATTTATATAGAGAAATAATTACACATCGAGTCTAACTTACTTGACTAGTTAATACCATCGAGTTTCCTGGTGTTTCTTGTAGTCGCCCTTGCGTCCTCGATGCCGCTAGTCCTTGCAATCTATGCTGAAGACCTTCCATTATGCTTGCGTCGAAGTAATCAAAACGTTTCGCTGTATAAAGAATTAATCAATTTAATTAAATACACTTATTACATCAAAATAGATCGAAACTTCACAAAAATAGCACTCTCATGATCTCTTTAAAGTATTATAAAAAAGGCAAGTTTAGACAATTTTAAAAAGAGACTTTTAACACAACTCACCAGACCGAGGTTGTCGTCTGTATTTAAGTTTCTTGCTATTCTTTCTAACGAGTTTGCCGCCGTTTTCGCAACTGCGTCGTCCATTATTATTAGTTTCTGGTTGATTGAAGTGATTATTCACGTGCCTTTCGAGGGCCGTCTGTGAACAAATGTGAACTTAGAGTCGATTTTTTCAGAACTTACAGTTGATTTTCATGTACAAGTCTTTTAGACTGTATGTGAAAATCAACATTTTTTGTCATGATAACGCGCACATTACCTGCGAACTAAATCTGAAACCGCAACCTTCGACGATACATCGGAAGGGTTTGTTGCCGCCATGAGACATAACATGTCTTTCTAGCCATCGTCGAGAACACGAGGTCCTTCCTTGTACCTTGCATCCCTGCCAATGGCAGACAAAGTTGTCGCTACCAGTTTGTGTGTTGATATGCGCGGACTAGAAGAATAATAATACAAAGTTTATAGATGAAAGTAAGAATTAGATACTTAAAAGATTCGATACGTTACAACAGGTTTTTCTTTCACATACCTGTAAATGCTCCAGAAGACTACCTACAGCTTCAAAATTTGCTTCGCATTTGTCCCAGCGACAGATTCCGCTATCGGTGGTTTGCGATCTGTCTTTTTTGGGCTCTCGCGCCGGGAAGCGAATAGTAGTAGGTGTCGAGAGGATAGGGGACAGCGACCGCTTTGATTCGCTACTCCGCGAATCCTCTTCGTCCACGTCGACGTCGTCTTCGTCGATCGGCGTCGTCTGAACTTCCTCGCTTTTATCCTCGTCCTCCTTCGACGGTAACGGCGAAGACAGTCTCGAGATGTTAGTGTCGTGGCCAGTCTGCGATCTGAACGCATCTAAGATACTTCCGCAGCCGTTTGTGAAGTTGTTGTTCTCGTTCACGTGCGACAGGATACAACTCTTGAAATCCAATGGCTCGCTTAAAAGCGACGAGGCGGCAGTGGTGGAAGAACTGCACTTAGCATTATTGACATTTGAGCCCGAAGTTAATCTGTCGTACAAATCAAAAAAGAAGCAATCAATCGAACACGTTTTTCTTGATGTTCTGTTCCTATCTGAATAATAATTATGTTATGTCATGTCGTAACAAAGCAGTGAAATGAACTGTACATAACATAAAAAGCTCTCGGAGAACTATTTTATTTTAGATCGCGTGCTGAAGATACACTGCAAACAATATATACATTATATATATATATATACCTAAGAGATGAGGAGATCTTGCAGTTAGGTAAATTTTTCAATACGTCGTTCGAAATTGACAGACTTGGCAGCGGCTTTGGCAGCTTCTTATCCATCTTGCCGTTGATTCTTGGCACGATTACCAACGGTGGCTTCTTTGCCGTCGCCGATGGCAGTGTTCTCACTTCCCAGTCAGTAGCCGAGGAGCTCTGATTAGACGACACGGTGCCCAAGTATTTAGCCAGCCCGCCCTTATTTCTTTGTACTATAGGTGGTCTTCGGAATTCTGACGAGCTCTTCGCCACTAACACTGACATTGTTTCGTTCGTTTTCTTAACCTGTCGAAAGAAAAGCGTAGTTGTGACAACAAGAATTATTTAGCATCATTTATATTATCTATCGGCTCAATTATAAAACCGAGTGTAAAACTATTCACTATTTGAGTTAAGACAAATTTTGCTGATTTTCTTGAACCTATTAAAACTTGTCACTTGATTTGCCTATCCGCTTATTAAGCATATCCGCAGCGCGATATATTTCCTTTCGCATTGTCTAATATTTTGCTCTCCTAACACAAAAGCAAAAGACGTCGCACTCATGTCAGAGCTAAACGTACGGCACGGAACGTGAATTATCTGGAACGTGTCTGTTAAATCGTCGATATGACGGAAGCAGGTTCCGCGAATTAATATCAACCTATAGAAATAGATCTGCACGCGGATTTATTTAAAAAAAATAGCTAATTCAATATCCGATAAACGCCGATAAGGCAAGTCTGTATCTACAATGTCAGTGAAGTAAAGTGGGTCGATATCTTTAACACTTCCGTTACGGTAGTTTTAATTGAAAAAAGATGTTTTTTCAATTAAAAGATTTTTTGATTTTTATTCCATAATGTGCATGGTTTTGCATCAACCTGCTGTTTTTAATCAAACGAGATAAGTGCAACGTAATCTTTCTCTTAAAAATCTTAGAATATTTATATATAAATACATTTCATTGTTTTAAAGTTTATTAAGATCTATTAATGTCTTTTTCAAATGTTTATCGTAGATACTTTGCATTTAAAATTGTCTATATTTAACAACTCACTCTTCACAAAAAGAGTTTTCTGTGAGAAAAAAACAATCGTCTGTCTTTGTACTATTTCATTGTAACACTCTCCGTCCGTGAGCAAATACCGACCTTCGGTTGCTGGGGCTTGATCTGCTTGTTGTAGTACTCGGTGATCTTGCCCTGAGACTCATGGTGGTGTTGGCCGCTGGCATTCTTTCCACCCGTCTTGACGCTGCTTCTGGAGGTAGGATCGGCGGCGCCAGAACGCGGAAGAGCGCCAGCCTCGGGTTCGCCTCGCAGCCTCTTGTACGCGGTAGTGGAGCAGGCGGTTGCTAATAGTGGGGCCCACGGCCACGAGGGCCTGGTGTCGGTCTGCGATGACGGCGCCAGCTTGAGCGGAGACGGCAACGGACTGGCGGACGTGCCGCGTATGACAGCTACTCCTTCGTCGCTGCTGGTACTGTATGGCGAGCCCGGTTCCGTGATATCGCTGGTACCGCTGCTGCTGCATTCCCCACACGAAATCGCCACCCCACTGCAGCAAGGATACAAGGATCATATAGTGGAATAATTTAATAGAAAGCACTAAAAATGTCTCACAAAATTGCGAGAATTTACCAATTTTCTATATAAATGAAATATAAAATATATTTAATTTTTTTAGCTTAAGGTTAATGAAGATGTTTTTTTAAATAAAAAATATCAAAAATACGCACACACACACGTATATATATGTATGTATAACATATAAGCAGTAATTATACTTATACAGATATGTATCTATACAAAAATATTGCGTTTATCAAAATGTCCCGAATGGATAATATCTTTAATTTATTTTCAATAGAAATGAAAAACAAGTCTAAAGATCTACTAGAAAAAAGCAGTTTCGTCATGCAAAACGCCATGAAGAAAACCCGGTTGGAAACGATGGCAGCGGCCACAAGGAAATTGCAAGCTTACCGAGTAATGACGTTACCACCAACGCAAACCTAATTACAAGCCCAGACATTGCAAATTGGCCAGTTTGGCCTCGTCGTTTCGACTTCTATCGTCCCTTCTCGCGATTTGACGACACAGTTTGATAATTTGTGAACAAATCGAGACATGGAAATACATTGCAAATAGTGAAAAAAAAAAACACGAAAGTATTCCGGAAAGTTTGTTATCAAACTCGTTAACAGCGATTTAGTTCTGAGTGTTTTCCGAAAATATTATTTTGTTGCTTATTGGTGATAAAAGACGTTTATTTAAATACTAATTATTATATATAATTGTTATTGCCATTTCCCTATCTCTTTTTATTTGAATATTCAACGAGCTTAAAACATATAATTAATATTATACATAATATTGAATACTTTTTTATAAAGAATATTTTCTAAAAATATTTCTTTGAGTATTTTGTATTTACAAAACACGTTGGAGAGGATTTATATTCATCATATCAAAATGATTCAATGTAAATACGAGACACATTTACAAACAGCACGAGTAATTATGAACATAATTTTATTCCTCAACCTTCGCCACATTATTACATTGTTTCGCGCTAAAAAATAAGAGAGTAACACACGTCTCGTTCGCTTTTCTCATTCACGAACAAGCGATATTGTTGCGCGTGCAAAAACAGTCCGTGTTTGCTGTTTTGTATCAACGGCTATAAATTATCCGACCAGCTATAAAGTGGTCGAAAACGAGAAAAAACTGCGCCTCTCTCTCTCTCTCGCATGCGCGTACACTCCGGGTATGGCCGGTTGATTCAAGCGGTGATCGTCGATCTTTCTCTCCTGACTTTTCGAGCGCAGATATTTCGGGACGTTCGTCGCGTCGTGCGCGAACTGCACGTCACAGCCGAGAGAAAAAGACACTGACCTTTCCATGTTACGATAGCGCGCGACGTTTACGCAACGCGTAACCGTAGTTAGCTTACGACAGGAAGAACAAGTGGCAGGAAGATGGACGCTTTATTGACTCATCTTCAGTCTTCATCTGTTAAATCATACTGTTGAATTCCGAATCCGAATCATCATGAATTCGGTCGGTTAGTGCGCGCGTGTTCGCTATTTCTCTTACAAACATACAAATTGTAATTGAAATTACGAATATAACGTAGAAAAAATCTTTTTTCAATTCTTTTTTTAAATTTATAATAAGAGCATGTAGAAGATGTAATTTGTAAGTAACGACTTTAGATTAAACAAAGTTAGGTTTAGAAATAAAAAAAGTTAGCACAGAGATCGAGGATAACGACACAATTTCGCGACTTTAGCCAAGAGAGACGGCGAACAGAGAGGGTGGACGGTCGTTCAATGGTCACGGATTTACTCTGTTGCATAACTGACCTATACTTACAAATAAGTGTGTGAGTGCCCGACACGGTCGCGCGAATACATACGAGTCCCACATGTCCCTTTCGCCCGAAACTTATGAAAGTTACGGAAGAGCCGGTTATTATGATCACGTCACCAACTCGCGTCCGTCCATTCCGAGGATTCGAAGTTTGCGCGAAACGTCATGAATGTAGTTTCCCAGATTGAGATAATTTGTAACGTTTCTGATATCTCCGTGTAAAATCTCGCGTGCTTGATAGTACACAAACAGAATACAAACATAATTACAATAGAAGAGAAACAGTAAGTAAATTGCTTTATTGATAGCAAGTTCGTGAAATATTCTTTCGTTGAAGTTGTTTTTATAATGCATTCTTTAAGGAAAAGAAGATGTATTTAACAGTAAAAGATGGTTAATCATAAATTATCTTTCTGTTTGCGCATGGCTCTTGACGAAAAAAAAAAAAAATTATGTTATAACTTTCTTAGCACAAAGAACAACGACGATAAGTATGTTTTATCTGACCAGAGATAGGTGTTATGCCATGTCACACATAATTAGACTTCAGCCGGTAATCTTCGAAGGTATATATAAATGTATTACTCTTTGAAAAAGTAGCGAACAGAGCAGAGAAAATAGTTAAATTTGCAATCGGAATCGCGCGTCTTGTTGTACGTGTTTGCACAAGAAAACTGTCGGAATTCGTCACGGTCACGGATGCGAGAGTAAATGAAATGCAGTTTGCCGTCAACTATGGACGCGTCAGTAATAAGGATAATACATTCGAAGAGGTAACATAATGCATTGAAGCGCGCAACACAAAAACTAAAAAATCGTTTCAATTTTTCAATGTGTAGTAAATCTCTACTTTTGGTACATTATCGGTGCCTCCTCTCTTTACAAATATTTACAAGAGAACAGAAAATATATTTCTTAATAAAAAAACAACTTTACGATAGAATTCATATTTTGATATATATTTTATTTTTACATCTCTCAGTAAACATGTGTGTATACATATATATATGTGTGTGTGTGTTTATGTACATTTTTTTAAATATTTGTATAATATATTTCTTGCTGTTTCATTCAAATATATCTCTATATATTGAATGATAGAGCTGTAGGATAGAGTTGTATAAGATAAAAATCTATTTATAAAAGTTTATACAAAAAATATTTTTTGTATTTTTTGCACATTAGAAACTTATAGATTAATGTAAAAGTGCTTGTCCATTTTTGTGTGAAATACAAACGTTCTGAAGGAAATTGCTGAAAAAGCGAAGACCCTTTTTGAAGCTAATGTCGGAGGAAACGGAAAAAAAAGATCGGATCAGACAAGACCAGCTGCACTCTCTTAAGACGAGTAAACGGTGGAACCCAAGAGGGGGTGGTTTTATTGGTTTAGGGTGGCTGGAAAGCTCGCAGCATGGGAGCGCATTTCAATTTCTCATTCGGGACCGACATCGTAGTTCAAAATTGTAAACCAATAGATAGATGACAACTATTGTAAATATAATAACCACATGGTTTATTGCTACAAAGTATAGCCGTTTATATAACGTCTATAGTTTTTTGTTACTTTTACGTAAGATTTTTATTTTCTATAAATTGATTTTAAGTATGATTTGAAAATGTTTAATTATAAGATATATAGATATCAAATATCACATTCCTAAGGTTTTCTGCGTCACTCATGATTCACATAAAAAATTAATTTATTATTAGTAAAAATATTAGTGTGAAAGAGAGATTTTCAAGATATTTCGATACAAAATGACAGTTGTTCAAATAGAAACATATTTGTGCAAACTAAAATGTGAAAATTCTTATTTTCGGAATAATGCTACGAACGCTTTACAAAAGACGAACTCTTCGGCAATGTACACCCTTTATGGCGTGCGCAATCGATCAATGAAATACCTTACGACCTTTCGAAATGGTTCACCCTCCTCGGAAACAGCTGGCTCCTCGTCATCCATCAATGTAGAATGGAAAACGTGGAAAAGCTCATAGAAAAGTGATATTCAAGAATCTTCAATAGTTCAAAACTTTATGTCTGTCGTATCGTCGATCGTTTAAACGGACAATTACTCGATTTTTGAAATTCCTATTTAGATATCAAACGAGTCATAATTTTAAATTTACACTATTCAAATTGTGTAATACACAACGTTTTTTTAATCACTAAAATTTAATGAACTACACATCGCACTATATAAATATCTTCAAAATTTAGACTATATTATGAGCAGCATCTAGAAAATAAATGCCAAAATTGGTTTACACAGTACTGCAAATAATAGTAGCTCATTTATAACGTAACCTCTGTGCTCAAAATATTAATATATAAAAGTTTACTCACGTGTAAAGATCTGCTAAAGAAGTTGCGCAGTTCGAGTGCTTAATTAAACGCAGGATGCATCACATGTAACGCACATTTGAAACACAAGTTTGTCGTGGTGATCGAAGCACACTCAAACAAAAGCGAGATCGTAGACTCGCGAGCGCGTGGTATATATATCTATCCCTTGGACCGACACGAACAAGACTGGAGTGAAAACCGAATTGTAGGGGTCTCTACAAAGTGCATACATGTAGGGTCAGAATGAAAGAGAAGGATAGAGAAACATGAAAAGAGAGAGAGAGAGAGAGAGAGAGAGAATGAAAGAGGGAGAAGTGTAGAGTTTAGGCACAAGAGAAAGTGGGGAAAAAGAATCCAACTGGGATGACGATGACCGAGAGGATCCGTTTATCCTGTTAGATATCCCATAGGATGAAATAATCTCTTCTCCTTCATCGTGCTCCACCGCGTCACGTCGCATCGTCGATCGACCGACAACGGTTCGGATCTTGTTTAGCTATATGCAGCAATGCGTGCAGGTAGAAAGCATACGCGGCCGAACAAACTTGTCTCTCATACATAATCCAACTATGAACTCAAGATGCATGTTTTGTACGTAAGCAAATCATTTGTTGCAAAAATGTTAATTTGATGTAATTCTTCATTAATTAAGTTATATCCGCGCACAATTAAATAAAGAATCTTCTTTTACATTGTTCGGCTCATCTATCACAAATTTATATTTTTCGCGAGTGTTTTTTATTTTTCTATAACGCTTAGCGTATCTGAAGATATTTTTTTTTTGTATTCATTTTCTGTTGTATAAAACATGTAACAAGTAAGTGAAACAACATACT